TTTTCTGGATCAACCAGTATTTTTTTTCGTGCAAACCACACGTGCACCACTTGCGTGCAATCTGCGAAGTTACGAGGTTCTCTATATCTAAGTTTGCCTTCACTGCGGTGTACAATTGTGTATCATCAGCATATTGATGGAACTTGATGTCATGCAATGAGATAACATTGGCGATCAGAGAGACGTTTGTTGAAAATAGGAAGGGCTCGAGGACGGACCCCTGCAGTACACCGGCTAGGCACGGCATAGGCGATGACTGTTTGTCAGCCCAGCTTGATGAACTGTGATCGACCATGCTGGTAGGGCTCAATCCGCCCCAGTGCCATACCCGATACACCGAACCTTGACCTTAGCCGCCCGATGAGTATCTCATGATTGATGGCGTCAAAGACGGCTGAGATATCGAGGCCAACCAATGCTGTGGTGCACCGGTTATAGTAGTCAGTAGTGGTGCGATTGTGGCCATGCAACTAAACTATGGAACAGAGAGTAAATAAACCACTGTGGTCTGCACTCATTCAATTGAGGAGGAACAGCAAAAATACACCAACTCTCTCCTGAAGCCCTCTTGTGATCGCAGACCTTGACATTAGCATTTAGCTCCTGAACATATTGCCATATGCAAAAATATAATAGCGTGCAAAACTATGTTATAAAAAGCTAAGTATAACCAGCTTTCCCTGACTGAATTCCTAGGAACTGAATTCAGAGTCTTACTTAAACAAAAAGTAAACATCCAACAGTTTTCCCGCTGGTCATTAATTTACCAAATGTCACCACATGCAAAGGAGAATATTAAGTATTAGGCTCTAGCCTTTCAAATGATTAAATACAATCCAAAATCTATTTTCTTTTCATTAACATTAGTCTTTGGCACAATGTTTACTTGGAAGGAATATAAGCCAAATAGCTTTTTAGTCATGTCTAGGGTTCGTCACAGCTCAGTGAGTATGCAGCGCGTGACGGACACCAGGCATGCGCTGAAGAGAAGGACTCTACTTCCGTGAGTCCTTGTGCCAAATCCTTACACGCAGAGGCTGGACGCATTGTGGGCATACACCACAATATTTGAACAATCAAATACCGAGGAATGACATGGAATATCTCTTCATCATCCTGTGCAGCGGTTCCCAACATGTGGTCCGTGCAATTTTTGCAGATACAATACGATGTTTGCTGAAGCATCACTGCCATGCAGTCTAAACTACTGTTCTTGAAATTCATTGACTGGTGCCACGTCAATTGGATTCTTCTGGTTAAAGAAAAACATTGGCCGTGGCATTCTTTTCACATACCAGACAGCACTTGAATGGGGCAATCTCTCAACACAGCCCTAGGCAGGGGCAAAATGCAATTAACCCTGGGAGCTCCACATGATCACTGGTTGACATAACTTTACCTCCTTCGTAACTTGAGTTAGAGGCACTTTCCATCTTCATGATTTAAAACAATTAAAATCCCTTCATTTTAAGTTTATTAAAAGCAGGTGAACATTTTTGTTATGGCAGAACATTATTAAGTGATTGCTTCATTTGACCAATCAGTTTATAGAAGGAAAAGTGCTGAAATAATTCAATCTTATTTTCAGTTTATTGTGGAATGTTTGGCAGTGGTGGTTGCCAAGCGCATTCATGAGGTGCGTGATTAATGCGTGCATGTTCATGTGTGGGTGTGTGCATGTGGGTTTACTCAAAGGACATCAATTCCTTTGGCCTCCTCCCCTTTCAAACACAAGCATTAACCTAGGTGGCAGGTGCCCTTTGGGTATTATTTATTAACCTGTTCTCACTCTTGGTTATTTTTGCTACAGGGGTCATTTAAATGTATGGCTCACCATTCCAGATGGGTGGAGTTGAGCTATGAACAGCTGCAGACTCGTTTTATTTTTCACCAGGAAATCTACAATCATTTTCTTTTAAAACAGGTTTCAGGCAACCATATTAAAAACAGCCATTGCAGAACTTAAACAATGTACTTTAGGTCATGCTTTGCATGTGAATGAATATCCTTACCACATATAAGTTACCAAACAGCTCAGGGATGTTTTCTCTACTCATATTTTGCTATTGTACATATTCAGTACAAGGAGACATCAATGTGTGTTGTGAAAGACCGCAGAAGGGCACTGACCCAGAGACACACAAACACACAAGCACTTACTACATCTTATTTATGTCAGGGATAGACTAGCTGAGTCAAATGAAGATAAGTAGATTTATAGTAGTTTGAGATGTGGCTTTCAAATTTAAGTTAAATGCTCCTGCAAATGCTTCTCTGCCACAGATGTTACAGGATATGTTTTATTCCCAAAATGTTTCTGGTCATTTCTACAAAGCCAATATGACAAAAAGATCACGAATTGACTCCCTGCTCTTGCTCCTCTGGCATTTGCTTCCTTGCTTACGAAGAACCTCGACAAGATAATTTATAATCATCCATTAGTAGGGCAACAGTAGATCAAAAGAGATCATTATTCTACAATTACTCCCAGTTGTGAGACTATCCTCATTTCCCATGGGTCATCACTTGACACAAGCAACCACTCACCACTCATCCCTGTATCGTTTTGGGTGCTAGGTGGCTCAGCGGTAGAGCAAGCGGCTCATAGTCAGAAGGTTGGGAGTTCCAATATTGGTTGGTGGTTGACTTTAGGGGCTATGTTGAAAGTTTTCATTGTATATTATAATTGACTGTTTAACTCATTTTTATTAATTGTAGTACCACATTATGTTTCCACACCTTGATATGTTTTTATATATATTGATCTATTTAATTCTTTTATGTATTTTAGTTTTTCTCTCCAAAAAATAAAGAGTTTGAATGTTATTACTAATACATGAATAACAGTCTTTAAATTTGTTTCAGCTACCCTCCAAATAGTTTGTGTGCAACAGTGAGATGGATCATGGCATTGCAGGACTGTGATTAATGGTGATGGAAATGAGAGGCAACCAGCAGTGGATGGACAGTGGCTCAAAATGATGATGACAATAATAGTGATGACGAACATGACAGTAATGATAATCGTGATGATGATGGTAGTGGTGATGAGGATTTTTCTGCTGACTCTGTCCTGAGATGTGACACTGCATACAACGTATATTTTGCATTCCTCTAATCCACAGACACTCACAGATCTCAGAGGATTTGATGCGCAATGTTGAACTCAGCAGGCTTCACCAAACTAGTCTCTTTTCAACACTTTATGATTTTGAAGCTGCATTAAAAAAAATGCAAAACATCTTTTACATCTGTAGAGAACATAAAAAATGAATACAGGGGTAGATCATATAATCTTAAAAAGCATTGCCTTAAATCAAGACACACTAACATGATATTTAAGCAGCAAAAAAATCACAAAACCTGTGATTTAAGCAGTGTATTATGTACATTATGGTATTTTAGCTGATACAACCATGTAATTGATAGCAATAAAAGTTACAATCCTAAAATAAACAAACCCATCTTAAAATATGGTAGTGTCATGGAATATTTTAAACATAGACTTTTGCAACCAATATTATTTATAATAAAGATTTTTTGGTTATATTGCGTAAATATAAATGCGTCGCTATTTAAGACTGGAAGCAGGAAGATTTCTTCACAATTCTGGAAAATCACCTGATGAAGCTGGTTGTAATCACCAGCGAAATGCCGTACTCTAAATGTTGTAGGTTTACTCACCATCACACCGATGTGCTGAAGTAATAGCTAATTGGCACGTTTTATTCACATGACAACCTTACCAATTGGCTGTGTCGGGTGGTAGTGGGTTAACGACACATTTACTTTTACGCATTCTAACCCAAAAACCTTTTTTTCACGGAAAAGCTCTAGTGAGAATGGTGTCGTGTGAATATGGGCAAATATTTGTGCTTCAACATCATATGAATACTTTTCATTGGTTAACATGATGGATATCAAAACGCAAAGGTTGTTTTCATGCTGAAGTGAGTATTGGCCACGACTATAACTACGGTTGAAGTTAGTCTTTGATCCACGATCTTATGTAGGAAACAATACCAAAAGGAAAATGTGTTTAAATCATACTTTTTGAGAATACGCTGTTAAGCTTTCACTATAAGAATCTCCAATTTAAACAACGCATGACATTTCCCCTTGCCCTCTTTATCCGGGCCCCTTGGCTCTTCAATATATTTTCCATCGTCTTCTACACTAACATGTTCAGGCCATATTAATCACTGTCGCTTGTAGAATTCTTGCTAACTTCTGTATAATCCGTTATCCTGTCCACTCGCTGCCTCAGTCTGTTAACCATCAAACCAAGTGGCCTACCAACTGGCCCCTAGAGGCTCCATCAAAGCTTCCAACTGCCACCAGCGTTTCCTCCACCAGAGTCCATTCGCCTTCGATCCCAGATGGGCGTGCGTTGATTAATCCACACTTTATACAGCTCAATGTGGACACTCAATGCGATAACTGTGCTGTCATGCAAAGGTAGTCTTTGGGGCTATTGGTCCCTGCCTTCCATCTCTCCAAGCTGCTAAAATGAATGTCTCTATTAACCCTGGTGTAGTCCTCACCATAGAACTGTCGTGTGTTCACCCCTGGCTAAAGACTGCCGATAGAGACAAGCACCACTAACAGGGAGACTGATCCCTCTAGGAAAAGTCAGTGAGTTCCTTTTTAAATGAGCATTAAGGGAGCACTCATATCCTGTTTACAGCCTGCACCAATGATGAATATTCTACACTCCTATGATGGGGTGAGCATATCTATTGGACAATCACTGTTGAATTTCCAAGAAAGTGGCACGAATTGTATTGACCCAGGAGGGATGTTCTGCTCAGTCAACTCTCAACTTCTGTAGGATTTGAATTCACAACCATTGAGCCACCTTGCCAGGACCATCCAATTCAACATATAATTCCACATTTCTATGGTGGTTTCAGTCTCCTTATGATAATAATTTGCTGATGTTCTAGAAAGTCACTCGTGTTATTAATCACAGAGGGACGATGGACTGAATGAACACTCACGTCCACCTAGATGTGGACGTGCAGTCTTCGTCTTCTTATTGTCAGTTGCATCATCCACCACAGCAACACCTCAGCTTATCTGAAAATGCACCACAAAATCACCTCCATCAAGAGGCTTATAAATCAACACACAGGCAGATAATATGTAATAAAATAGCAAAAACAAACATCTGAGTCCAATTTTTCAACAAAAGGGTAGTCCAAGCCTGTGAATAGTTCGGCCTCATTTTGTAGTTGCTTGGTTCGTCATGTCTTGCACCTTTTCCTCCTCTTCTCATCTCTCTTGCTCATTCCGTATTCTCTCCCTCTTTCATATCCATTGTTGCACGCACTCCCCCTCATGCGCATGGCTGTATTATTTTCTCATAGGCAAACAAGACTCCATGATATCATTCTCACCAGTGGGCATGAGCAGAGAGTGTTACAGCCAAAGTATATGCACGAAACGCAGGGTCACAGATAACAAGCATTTTTTCACCTACATTCATTGAAATGGAAAAAAACTAAATTAAAACATTATTAAATAATTAAAACATGCTATACATGAGAAACGTTATTTTTTCTTTGCAATTCATTCCATGCAAGAATAAATGATGACGACAAATAACTTAGCTCATACGTACAACAAAATGTGTGCATTTGCTGGTAAATTCCAGCGAAGCCACTTCATCCAGGCCTTTGCAGTTTCTCACCTGCTAAAATAAATAGCCCACTCTGACTCAAGCGACCTTCTTATCTAAATATTTAAAATGACGCTGGCTGATGCTGAAACGGGCTTTATTGGGGAATGGGCAGCTCTATGGCAATGAAGAGGGTGAGGGTTGAGCCTCAAGGACAGCCATCAGTGGCACCTGCTCCATCAAGAGCACTGCTTACTTAATCAATTGCCAACTACAATATTTGTGCAAGCTGAAAAAAGTTATATGCCAAGGGGTATTTTGTTTAAAATCTGTAGCCATGTTTGTATATGAAATGTGCTTGCACCCAAAATGCACTTTTTAAAGTCTCCACTATTTAGACTGCGTATAATCATCACCACCACATCAACATGCGGCCATTTCCACGTGTGTTGTGGCTCAAACATTGGGTGGTTTTTAGGGGAATAGAGCAGTTCAAAGCGTGGCTCATACAATTTTAAACACATCCTTTGAAATGCATTATAAAGCTTTATCAGTATTGTTTTTGTCAGGTATATGTATCAACACAAAATTATTAGATGTATCGTGCACTTTAATTTTTTTTAACAGAATGATTAAATACATCTGGAGTGTGATTTGTGAAGCAAAAAACCCCAGATGTGTACCAGATGTTTGTAGTGTTTGTTTATTTATTTAACTACTCTTTGGTTCTATTGGGTAAAGTCACGTAGGTGAAAATAAAATAACAAAAAATCACGACGTTTCGGCCACAACACAAGCGGCCTTCATCAGGTGAAGGGACGAGACTGTCTGGAGGACAGCGCTGGAGTGGAAGAAGCCACGCTTAGATCACGACCTTTAAGCTGTGTGAGAAGAAAAAAAAGACCACGCGCTTTGACAAAGGAATTAGCATATAATTTAGCATTGAAATAGCTCATTGAAATAGCTAAGTTAAAGTATACACATCCGCAGAGGTACCCCTTGACAAAGGAATTAGCGCTGGAGTGGAAGAAGCCACGCTTAGATCACGACCTTTAAGCTGTGTGAGAAGAAAAAGACCACGCGCCTTGACAAAGGAATTAGCATATAATTTAGCATTGAAATGGCTCATTGAAATAGCTAAGTTAAAGTATACACATCCGCAGAGGTACCCCTTGACAAAGGAATTAGCATCGAATTTACCATTGAAATAGCTGAGTGATTAGCTTGTAACTGGTCACAGAAATAGCTATGTTAAAGTTAGAGCATATACATTCACCGAGGCACCTAGTACAAATCAAACAGGAGAATTTAGCGAAACACAACCACGCTCAGACATCGGTCCTGTGTGCGAGCAAACAAGGTGTTCTGACAAAGAAATTAGCATAAAAATTAGCATATGATTGGCGGATTTTAGGAAAGAGGTGGTGTACGTGCCGGTGGACTCGCAGTTTGGCGCGGGGGGGGGGTGGGAGGGGGGAGTTTACCTATTGATGGTGTGAAAAGGGGGAATTTATAAGAGCTGCGAAAGTTTGGGGTACCACTACTTGAAAAATATACTGTACGATTACAATTAGTTTAATGTTTAGTTCGATTTAGAACATCTTTCCAATGAAAAGCTTTCGTGACTGCAATGATTCATCTTCTTTGGTTCTTTCGGTAAAGTCACGTAGAATGAGAATAAAATAATAAATTGATAAAATAAAATAACACATTAATATTCTCACGACGTGAGAATATTATTGTGACTTTACCGAAAGAACCAAAGAAGATCTTTCCAATGGTTGCTTAATTTGAAACCATCCTCTCGGTTGAAATTGTGTCTGTGTTTGTAGATCTGAATTGCTTCATGAACAAATCTCTGATAAAAGCCCGTGGGTTTGCAAAGAACCTTGGTATCGGAGAAAATTATATCGCGATCCCCCACAGCATTGTAACAGTGATCAGCCACGGCAGAAGAATTCGTTTGCCGTATTTCAAATCTTATTTGTGCTCGCGAATTGGGTCAGAGACATGTCGCTTTGTCTCACCGATGTAGCAATCACTGCAGGTACAGCTCAATTTGTAAACCCCGGGGTACTGTAAATCAGGAATGACATCCTTCACGGATGGGATCAGATCACGAATTTTGTGTACTGTATTGAACCGGACCTGGATCTTGTGTTTGTTTAGAATTTTGGAAATCTTTTTAGTAACGCCTGCTATATATGGAAGTGTGATGGTTTTGACCCGAGTATCAAGTGGTTGTTTCTGTATGGAGGGAGAGACAGCTTGGCGGATGGTACGGTCAGAGTAACCATTCCTTTTGAGGGCCAGATGTACATGTTTTAATTCACTGGTCAGGTGGTGTTGGTCCGAAATGCAATGAGCCCTATGGTATAAAGTTTTGATGAGAGAATTCTTTTGGGCTGGGTCGTGGTGGGAATCAGGTTTCAAGTAGGAATCTGTGTGGGTGGGTTTCCTGTAGACAGAATGCCCCAATGAGCCATCAGGTCTCCTCTCAAACAGAACATCTAAGAATGGTAGCTTGCCATCTTTCTCCACTTCCATGGTGAATTTGATGGCGGGATGTCTGGAATTGATGTGGTGTAGGAAAAGGTTCAGAGCTGGGAGGCCATGTGGCCAAATGACGAAAGTGTCATCCACATATCTCTTCCAAAGGGAAGGTCTGAGGGTGGAAGTCTGGATGGCGTCTGATTCAAATTTCTCCATGAAAATATTGGCTATCACTGGTGATAAGGGGGATCCCATGGGGGTACCCTAATTTTGTTTGTAGAAGGAGCCATTCCAAGTAAAGTAGGTATTGTTGAGGCAGTGCCTAACCAGTGCAGGTATGTCAGGGTCTAGTCCATGTTGGACCAAATTTTCAATTATTTCAATGGTATCAGGTACTGGGACCTTGGTGAACAAAGAGACCACATCGAAGCTGACAAGGATATCGTCAGGGGACAGTACAACGTCTTTGACCATAGAGACCAATTGGGCTGAGTTGAGTACTGCTGAGGCGGTCTTGCCAGTGAAAGGCAGCAAGGTATCTGACAGAAAACGGGCTAGTCTATAGGTAGGGGAGTTGATCGTGGATACGATGGGTCGAAGTGGGGTGCCTTCTTTATGAATCTTGGGAAGACCATAGAATCTAGCGGGTCTTGCAGCAGAAGGTTTTAGGGAGGGACGTTTAGTTGGGTCGATTAGGGAGGTCGAACTTGTGATGATCTTGTTGGTTTTTATCGCTAGGCTATTAGTAGGGTCATTTTTTTATTTTTGAGTAACTTCCATCGTTGAGCAGATTCTGGATTTTGTTGTTGTATGAATCTGTATCCATAATAACAGTAGCGTTGCCTTTATCGGCTGAGAGTATGACTATATCACTTCTGTTTTTTTAAATTCGTGAGTTCAGAGCGTTCATTTTTGCTGACGTTACTAATGGGTTTCTTAGCATTCTTAAGAATAGTGGCTATTTCAGCTCTCGCAACGTCTGCTTGGATGTGTCCTACGCCTTTGAGGGCTACATCGACCTGAGAGATGATATCATCTATTGGTATGTGTTTTGGGGTGACAGCAAAATTTTGTCCCCTAGCCAGTACTGTTTTGAGATTGTCCGAAATCGGGGTGCTACTCTGATTAATGACGATTTTGTTAACATCTAGTTTTGTTATATGTGGAACTGGGTTCTTCTTTGATAGGTGGTTGAATTTAGAAATCAGGTTAGCTTTACATTTGACTGACAGTGACTCAGCAGAAGAAGCAGTCATGTTGTCTACGTGATTCCAATCAGGTGACATTTTTTGTGTTAACATTAAATGAGCTTGTAGAAAAGCCCTGTCTAAAGTATCGAGTTCAAATCGGAGTAGCCTTATCCTCTCTGAGATTAAAGATAGGCTGGCCTTAAGCAAAATCTGTTTAGAATTCGGAGAAGATACAGCAGCAGAAGTGAGTGTGAAAGCTATGGGTATTACCTTGTGATCGCGGCATCTTTTGAGGAAGGTCAGCGTCTCGATGAGTTGCGACTTCTTGTCCCGTTGTGTGTTAAAAGCTCTAACAGATAGGTGAAAACCCTCCCCATAAAGGTTATCAATTCTAGATTTAAAGCTTTCGTGACTGCTAGGATCCATACACTTTGTTTCTATTGGGTAAAGTCACGTATGTGAAAATAAAATAACAAAAAATCACGACATTTCGGCCACAACACAAGCGGCCATCATCAGGTGAAGGGACGAGACTGTCTGGAGGACAGCGCTGGAGTGGAAGAAGCCACGCTTAGATCACGACCTTTAAGCTGTGTGAGAAGAAAAAAAAACCACGCGCCTTGACAAATTCACCATGGAAGTGGAGAAAGATGGCAAGCTACCATTCTTAGATGTTTTGTTTGAGAGGAGACCTGATGGCTCATTGGGGCATTCTGTCTACAGGAAACCCACCCACACAGATTCATACTTGAAACCTGATTCCCACCACCACCCAG